TGCAGGGATTGGTGTACTTCCTGCCTACCCTTTCTCCCGTGCAGTCTGTTAAAACCCTAAGTAAGAACTGAGGCCTTTGGCCACGGCTCCTACCACTGATGGTCTGGACCCCAGCATGTTTTTCACCACCAGCAGACCAGCAAGGCTGGAAGGACTCCTCTTCTTTCTGCCATCTTTTTTGGAACACTGACTTGTACTCAGCCTGAAAACATCGAATTCCTGGACCTTGGCCTAATATTTATCTAGTTCATTAATGGTCGTCTTTGGAAGGACAGTTCTAAATTAGCTACCCTGTCATTAGTGCTAGGTCCATTCCTATCGACATTTTCAAATTTGTCTTTTCTTCCTTAAAAGACAACTACCAGGTTGTTTTGTTTTGTTTTGTTTAGGCTGTAGGTTTTTGCCATAGAGTGCAAGTGCTCACTGAGAGAGACAGAGAGAGAGAAATGAGTGAAAGTGAGAAATCACCCAAGGTAGATGGCCATGCCTCAATCCCTTCTCCTCCATTCTCCTCTCGGACTTTTGGGCTCACACGCACATACACCTGGCATGATTTTCAAGACACTAGGTCTGGGACTCAAACTACAGTTGGCCATGTGGGAGCCCGATGCCTTAACCACTATGCCACCTGGCGGACCCAATAACTACCAGTTTTATAAATCTGTAACTAGTAATCATAACGTCTCCTCATTTTGGTTTCTGCTAGTCCTTATGCATAGTGACTTGTTTAACTTTAGTGCTTTTTTTGGTTTTGTTTTTTGTTTGTTTGTTTGTTTGTTTTGACTCTGGCTATTTGTCCTTTTAAAATTATTAACAGAAATTATCGAAGGCCTAAGATAGAGGGGCCTTCTTCCTACAAGTATTTGCATTTCCTTCTGCCAGCTTCCTAAGGGTACCACCAATCAAACCGAGACAACTTTAAATGCAAGCCACCATTTGAAATAACACCGGTGACATGAGTTGGGCTGCAATCCTACCCCAGGGCTGGATTATGCCAAGGTGTTTTCTTTATGCTTCCTGAAGGTAGGATGAGAGGGTTATGGTTATGGGATGGAAGACGCCGCTGTGGTCCTTTTCTTCTTTTCTTTTCTTTTTTAATTTGCCAGAGGGGGCATGCACTCCCCAGAGAAAGGGAGAAGGAAAAAGTAACCTCCCATGAGACATGGTCACTACAACCCCTTCTCCTCTATCACTGCATTCTGCTGGGACTTGGGGCATGCATGCACACACACCTGGTGTCGTTTTCAAGCCCCTTGGGCCTACCCTGTCAGCAATTCAGTTCAAACTGTGCAGCTAGCCATGTGGGATCCAACTGCCCCAGCCACCAGGCCACAAGCTGTCCCCTATGGAGCGATCTTGACGGAAAGAAAATCTCCTGTTAGACCCCACACCATCAGCAGCCCCTAGGCCTTCGCTCTGTCCTCTCACCACGAGGCATGCAAACCACAACCCACATTTTTCAGTCTGGCAAATGCTCTTGGGACATTCTGTAATAAATACAACTTTCTAAACGCTTGATTTTTCTTTGGCCGGGGAATTCTTTAATTTCTTCTCAGTTCTTTAATGCTTTTAAGAAAACTGCTTTTCCTCCTCTAACATTTTTAGATGCCTTGTTGGGAGCGATGGTGCGAGGACCTACACCAGCACGTCTGTAAATGGAAGCGGCCGAACATTTTAAACCCTAACGCAGGCAACAGAGCTTACCAACTCTATTTCTGAATGGGGTCAGAGAATCCGAAAAGGGAGAAAGGGGCCTGAGACGCCCAGCAAGTACTACTAACCACTCAGGTCTTCTCAGGCTCCTGGTCCCTCCCATTACAAGAGATTGTGTGTGCGCGCGTGTGTGTGTGTGTGTGTGTGTGTGTGTGTGTGCATCATAAGCAATGGTTCTCCGAACCTCAAAACTGTCATGTAAGGAAGGACTGTCACAGCAGTAATCTACAGCATCAGTCTGAGGTCTCAATTAAGTGGGCCAAGGTGCCCAGGCTCATCTCCCCCACTGCTCATAAGTGCTTGCCCAAGTCCCACCAGCCCTACCCTGTCACTTCCAGGCTGTCCTCAACTCCTTCACTGGGAACTTAGTTTGGGCTCCATTGATTCTGCTACTGCAGGTAGTTTTCCAAACAAAAAGGAATGGTTATTTACGAAACCTAGACTGAAACCATAAATACCGTCAGTGAATTACACGGCAATGTGAGTACACCGCTAGGGCTGAGGTCCTCAGAAAGGGCGTATGTCTTGGCTGCGTAGAAAGGATTTTAGTTATAAAAGTAGCAAAAGGATCTCATTGTAGGTGAGCTCAAACTCTTAGGTGGTCCTGCAGTGTATACTCTGAGGACAGCTTTACAGCAAGTTTCCTGACACAGACCATTTAGACTGGGAGCCAGACTCTCTTTTTTTCCCCTCAAATTATAAGGAATCAGTGGTATTTCAGTAAATTGCCCCTTTGTGAATGAAATAACTTTTCTCAGATTTTCATACTGGATACTTTTCTTATATGTAATTTTACTTTTTCCTCAAAATACGGTGATTACTTTAATCTAAAACAATATTCATGAGATAAGGCAGATGCAGTGGTATCTTCAAGCAACTGCCTTCCAAAGTGTTAAATATCTTTTTTACTTTACAAAAATAATCAGCGTTTACTAATTCTGAAAAAGACTAGAGGTTTTTCTAAGGCACGTCAAACCTCTAAATGACCCATCTAGCCCACGCCTGCCAGCTGCCAGTTTCCGACGCTCTGGAGGGGTCCCAGAGACCTGACTCCATGGGCTCTGCCAAAGGCCATGCTCAACGACCTGCTCTCGGTTTCTACGGCAAACGACATGTCTGACGCTGGAACAGCGCTGAGCACTGCCCAGGAAACGGGCTTTCCTCTGCCGGAGCACCTGGCGATCCTGCCAAGGCGGACACCCTAAACTGCACGGCGACTCTCAAACCACCGTCCTTGGCTTAGCAGCATCACCAGGACACTTGTCAGAAACACGAATCCTCAGGGCTCACTCTGCACCTGTGAGTGAGAAGGCAGGGTGGCGCCCGCCATGTGCTAACAAGCTCTGGGTGACTGCAACGCAGTCTGAAATCTGGGACCCCCTCTCTGCATCCACTCTGACACGCATGCCGGGCAGCACCACTGGCTCGCTCTCATGCGTGCACTCGCTCTCGCTCTCTGTCTCCCTCTCGCTCTCTGTCTCCCTCTCCTGCCTCTTCTCCCCACACAGCCTGAAAATAAATGCCACTGTCAGTGAGTGACGTGAACAAAAACTGTAGCATTCACACAATGAAGGACTTGCTGCCAACAGAGAAAATGAGTGAGAACCAGCTCTGACGTGATGCCCGGTATCCCACACAGGGCACTTTCCGAGACCTCCAACGGACTGAAACTCAGGACAGGACCAACTCCATACATACTGCTTTTTCTTTCTTTCCAGGTTTTTTGCTACAGGGCGTATGTGCCTTATGGGGAGAGAAAGAAAAAGAGACAGAGACAGACGACCAACAGAGGGAAAGTGAGAAATCACTTCCGGTGGGATGGCCATGCTGCAATCCCTTCTCCTCCATCCTTCTTTTTGGGATTTTGGGCATGCACACACACCTAGTATGATTTTCAAGCAACTGAGTCTGGGACTTGAACCATGTCTGACCAAGTGGGATTCTAGCACCTTAACCACCATGCCACCTGCTGGCCCCATACACTGTTTTTCCAATCTGCTAACGGAGATGGCTCCTAGCTGACTGACGGGTGGTGGCTATGCAGCAGGACAAAGGGAAGACACACAGCCTGGGCAGCACGGGGCAGGAAGCCATCGAGCTAGGCAAAATGATACGCAATTTAAAACTTAGGAATTGTTTATTCTGGAATTTTCACTTAATATTTTTGAACTGTAGTTGGGCATGGACAACCTAAACTGTGGAGAGCGAAACCATGGATTAGGGAGGGTGATTGCATTTATAAGGTTAAATAAAACACACAACCATAACTTTGACTGAAAAAAACCATGGAAGTCTATGATAGGATATTTTGTAATGGCTAAATATAAGCAGAAGTAAATAACATTGTTTAACAATACATTCTGTAGCAAAGCTACTTTTTTAAATTGAGGAAATGATATACCTTTAATTCTATACAGCGTTTACCTTGAGGGGGCAGGGACGAAGTGGGAAGGGGACCCGCTGGGAACCATAACTGTGCTTGTGACAGGCTAGCTCCCAGAGTGAGTGGTGAGTTCTCAGCGGCTCACTGCACTTACACTGTTAAACCACGCTGTTTTATATATATATCAAATATTACAAAGTGAAATATAAACCCAAAATTAAGAAAAAAAGGAAATGCAGCTAAGAAACGATAGCCATTATCTAACATAGGAAATCAGAAGCCACCTAGATGTTATAATTAAATCGTTTGTTCATTCAGTTACCAAAAAAAATCGTTCAAGCTATAAGAAAACATACTCAATAAAGTCAGCCAGGTAAAATAATGTTAAAAACATGTACAATAAAAGTGAGTAGAAGAAAACATTAATGGTCAATATTATAGTGACTCTTCTTCTTGTATATTTGGCATTTTTCTACAGTGAAGAATAATAATCATTAAGCAGTTTTAAACTGTCACTGGGACAGATGACGACTCAAAGTCATTAAAGAAAACTGCCAAACCTACTGGAAATAGGGACAAAACTGAGTGTTTCATAGCAATCTGGTTATGATTTATATAATTCAAAGTGTTGTATTTTCTGACATTAAAATTACACATCTCTATTACTGTGATTCCAAATAAGTCATTTCACTTTGTGTGGCGAGAAAGGCATTACTGAGAAAACCGTGACTTAAAGAGGGCTTCAAGTAAAACCACTACGGAAGTGAAAATCACGCATTACCTGGTCTGGCCTTTGCCAACGCAGGAGAAAGACGCCTGCCGAGGCCGGTCGTACGGCCTGTCCCGTCGTGGAGAGAGAGGGCCTCAGAGGGCAAGGATCCAAAGCCAGGGCTTCGTTACCTACCTCCTTTTCCAATATCCTGGCAATCTCGCCCAGGGTCCGATCCAGAGCAGAAACCTTATTGTTCGCCCACGAGCCACTGTCTTGTACTTGGAGCTGTTTTAGGAGATCTTTGGTTAACCGCTGCAGCCTGTGACACAATAAAGGTGAGAACGACGTTAACGAATCGCACGGTAACACTTTTTCTCATTTTGAAACACACGTTACTTTTCAGTACTGTATTTGAAACTGCTTACAGAGTACAGAGGGGAGGAAACACAGTTCATGCGCCCACCCATCTGCTCGGGCAACGTGGCAGAGCACCGGGCAGCATGAGCTGTCCACGGGATGAGCCGGAACAGCTGATGCCGCCGGTTTCAGAGTAGAACTGGGAATGGGAAGGTGAGAGGACGATGGCAGTGAGGTGCAGAAGAACCTGAGCAGGGTTTTCTATTTTGATTTAAATCTCCAAGATAGGTTTGGATTTTTTAAGCACCGTTAACTCAGAATGCCAAAATCTCCCTATCCCAGGTCCAGCCAGTGTGGGACCGCCTGCCACCACGGGTAGTCATGCACAGAGCGCTTGCTGGCTCTTCCCCACCGCATACCACGTGCCGCGCACCACCTATGTGTCTGTGAGTCTCGGTGCGTGGTCTGTGTGAAGCCTCTCGGCAGCCCTAACTTCAGTTCCACCCTCCCCGGCTGAGCGATCTCCCCTCCTCTCCACCCGTGTGCACGGACACCCAACAGGCACGGCCCAGGCATCCGTCCCCCATGCGTCCTTCTCCAGTTGTCTCACTTCCATTTCTACCTGTAGCAGAGCCCAAAGACAGCTTTCTAATCCCCTTCCTGCACGTGTACAACCTCCGCTCTCTGCTGCCCTACTGTCACCCGTCAGACAAACCCAGTGTGGGATGGCTGTTCCTGTTACCCCTGTTAGAGGAGCCCAGTGTGGGACAGCTGTTCCTGTCACCCCTCTTAGACTAACTCAGTGTGGGGACAACTGTTCCTGTTACCCCTGTTAGAGGAGCCCGGTGTGGGACGGCTGTTCCTGTTACCCCTGTTAGAGGAGCCCGGTGTGGGACAGCTGTTCCTGTTACCCCTGCTAGAGGAGCCCGGTGTGGGACGGCTGTTCCTGTTACCCCTGTTAGAGGAGCCCGGTGTGGGACGGCTGTTCCTGTTACCCCTGTTAGAGGAGCCCGGTGTGGGACGGCTGTTCCTGTTACCCCTGTTAGAGGAGCCCGGTGTGGGACGGCTGTTCCTGTTACCCCTGTTAGAGGAGCCCGGTGTGGGACGGCTGTTCCTGTTACCCCTGTTAGAGGAGCCCGGTGTGGGACGGCTGTTCCTGTTACCCCTGTTAGAGGAGCCCGGTGTGGGACAGCTGTTCCTGTTACCCCTGCTAGAGGGCCAGTGCGATAATAACTGTTCAGCTCTTATCATGGGCCAGGCACCACGCTCAGTGCTTTGCATGCATCAGCTTTATTTATTTATTTATTTATTTTAAAGTTTGCTGTGGTTTAATAGAAGCCATCTCTTTTTTTTTTTTTTTTTTTTTTTGAGAGATTTTCACTATAGGGCGCGTGCACTTGCCAGACAGACCGAGAGAGACATAGAGACAGAAAGCAAGAAATCACCCCCCAGGGGGGATGGTCATGTCACGCCGCAATCCCTTTTCCTCCATTCTCCTCTTGGGATCTTGGGCACGCACGCACACGCGCCCGGCGTGAGTTTTAAGCCACCGGGTCTGGGACGCGAACCGCGGTCAACTACGTGGGAGTCCAGCGACATAGCCATTACGCTAACTGCTGGTTCCCTGCATCAGCTTATTTAACTGGATTCATGACAACAACTGACAGCTTTTTCCATTTCTGAACTTGAAAAACGTCATGCCGTGTAAGAGACTGGAATGAGCGCCGATCCGAGATCTTCTTCAGCCCCGTCCATCTGCTCTCTCCCATTCTCCACAAAGACATCCTTCACGTATTCCCCACTCTCTTCAAAACCCCACCTTTCCGTCTTGCTTTCATAAGAAGATCTGACATTCACAGAGAAAATGGAAGCTACTGGAATCAGAACCCCCACTTTCTCCCACAAAAGCTGCACGTCCACCTGCATTTCACTCCCCCTCGCCCGTGTGCCCTCTCACAGTGAAGGCCACTCCCCCCGTGGAAGGCACCCTGCCACACAGGTCTGTAGGCATGAGGGCTTTCTGGGCCGCAGGCCATCCTTCTTCCTGCTTCAGTGTCTTTGCAAGTTCTCTCACTGTGAAACCCCTCCCCATCCCTGTGTTACTAGACAATCACTGTCCACCCCTCAGTTCTTAGGGTACACCATTTTCTCTAATTCGACTAGCCCTTCAAAGCACTCATCACAAGTGACTGACATGTGAGGGGTCTTAGTGCACTAAGTTCATCAAAATGCCTAGTACGAAAAAACCAGGCATGACTTTAAAAACCGTTTTGCACCAAAATGAACCTGTACTAACATGTCTGAATAGCATCTAGGTTAAGGCGCTAAGAGAGGGAAGACATCAGTTTGAAAGAGCCCCCATCACAACCACTAGAATTCCGCTAGACTCGAGACCAGAGCAAACATGAGTTGATGGTGAAGCCTGCGCGGAAGATAGCGAGTCACTGACGCTTTCCCAAGAGCGTGGACACGATGCCCCAAAGAAACGAGCGACTTACAACTGGGTAACTAGTTTTAGGGGACAACCATGTTAAAACTGACAACCACAACGGCAGACCATCCATATCAACTTGTGAGGAAAGCTTCAATCTGGTTCCCGTCCTAATTTGGGAGGACCAATGAGTCACCGGAGAAACAAGCGCCAGCACCACAGATGTCTTCCGTGGTCGGCTTCCACAGTTCTGACTGCAAGATGCAATGTGCGCAGACCTTCCCCTCTGTGGGAACCTCCACAGTGACTGCAGACCAGCTGCAGGGAGGAACAGGGCCTTCCGCGGACATTCTCTACAAGTGGGAGCGAGACCTTGAAGCGTCTCTCTGCAGAATCGCTACTGGAGATGCCACGTGGCTTTCCGGCACAGTCCTGAAGGCAAGGCACAAAGCAATGGCGACCAAGAACTCGAAGTGGTCTAGTCGGAGCAAAAGCAGACCATCAAAAGCAAAGATCCTGGCAACCACTTGTGGGGATTCTCAAGGCATTCTGCCAGGTGACTTTCTGGAAAGCCAAAGAACAGTAACACCTGCTTATTTACTTTGAGAGTATTTTTTAAGAGGCGACTGAAGCTCTTACAGAAAAACAGCATGGAAAGCTTCAGCAGGGAGTCCTCTTCCACCACGAGAAAGCTCCTCTCAGTCTTCTCATCAAGTGAGGGCAGTTTTGCAAGCGTTTCGGTGGGAAATCACGAGGCACTCACCTAGGGTCCGGGTTTGGCTCCTTCTAACTTCTTTTGGTTTCCTAATCCTAAATGATCCTAACGGGCACCCATTCTCCGTCCATTAGTAATGTAAGAAAGACTGCACTAAGCTGGCGAGATTCCCAGGGCCTTCTCTGGTCTTCAAGGAGGGACTAAGCGGCTACTTGCATCACTTACACAAAAAATACCTTAAACTCAGCACGTCGGTTGAGAAGTCAAACATATGTACTTTCACCTGTCCACTTCACTCCCCATGAATCTTCTGAAGTGCTCTCACATCTACCTGACCGGAGGTTCAGTGAGTACCTCGCCCATGCCGAGACTGACAACAGAACGTCCTAGGGCGACACGGGCGTGCTGTACTACGGTCCAGCATGGCAGCCGCTACCCAAAGGGTGCTGGGTCCCAGGAGCACTGAGTGTGACTGAGAACCTGAACCCGCACTGTGTGAGGACGGAAGGGGTCACACAGGGTCACGTGATCTGGGGCTGGACCGTGCAGACGCAGAGCAGCGGCTTCAGGAGAAGTGTCCTTGTCCCCCTGTGCACGGCCTTATCCTCTCCGTGCAGCACACTGCCTGCCCAGGCACGCCCGAAGAAATTACAGGTGAAGTTTTTCCTTTACCTTAATCTTAACAACAGCCACAACCTCATAGGTTACAAAATACTTCTATGTACATGCTTTTATTTAATCCTCTTGGTAAAACTGAGTATCACTCATATTTTAAAAATCAAGAAAATAAGGCTGAGAGAAGATAGGTGACTTTTTCCCAAGTCACATAGTTGGTGAAAGGTACTACTAGGGTGGGACCAGCAGATGGCATAATGGTCACGTCGCTGGGCTCCCACATAGTTGACCGTGGTTCAAGTCCTGAAGCTGGTGACTTAAAACTCATGCTGGGTACGTGAGCATGCGTGCCCAAGATCCTGAGAGGAGAGGAGAAGGGATTGCGGTGTGGCCATCCCCCCAGGGGGTGATTTCTCATTTTCTGTCTGTCTCTCTGGTGAGCACATGCCCTATAGCAGAAATTTCTCCAAAAAAAGAAAAAAAAAATAGGTACTTACTGGGACTTGAAACCTAAGCCTTTGTTTTTAAAATGTCATGTTCTAGCTCCATACCATATTAGTCAATTCAAATAAGAAAATTTAATTCACAAGTGAATAGGCTTCTAGATATAATTTCGCCTAAAATTTTATTTATGTAAAATTTTAAATTTCTCAAAAAAAAAAAAATCATAGCAGTGGGGCCAACAGTTAGCATAATGGCTATATCGCTGGACTCCCATGTAGTTGACCGCGGTTCGCGTCCTGGACCCGGTGGCTTAAACTCATGCCGGGTGCGTGTGCATGCGTGCCCAAGATCACAAGAGGAGAATGGAGGAGAATGGATTGCGGCGTGGACATCCCCCCTGGGGGGTGATTTCTCGCTTTCTATCTCTCTGTCTCTCTCTGTCTGTCTGGCGAGTGCATGTGCCCTATAGCAAAAAAACTCTCAAAAAAAAAAAATCATAGCAGCAATGCAGCTCAAAAAGGCACTGGGTGAACTCCAGCGTAAGCGTAAACTATACAAATGACATTACTTCAGCAAGTCAAGGGATGAATACAAACTCTAAAACCAGAACTATTCTAGGTTTGAAATCCTGAGGGGGTCATTTAACTTCTCTGAATCTGTGCCTTCAGCTTTCAGTATATGAAGATCAGACATTAGCGTAATATACCTAACACCACGCCCTAAATGGTCAGCTATCACTATGCATTGTCAGAGGGTC